AGAACGAAGATAAGAGAGGTGGTGGTGTGGTGGGGGGGGGGGGGCGCTGGGCAGTGTGTGAAGAGCGAAAGTGACTGAGGGCTCTGAGGCTGGGAGAAGAGACAAAGATAGATTATAGAGGTCCTCAGAATAATTAGTGGCATGGAAAGGATGGATGAAATTGTTTTTGCTTTTTCTTCTGATAAAATAACACAATGAAGGGAGTGGGAGACATGCTGAAAAACAAAGGGAGGTTCATAGAATAACAGCTCAGGTTGGAAGGGACCTCAAAAAAAAATTATCTGACTGAACCTTTTGTGGGAAAGGGAACCTAGATGAGATTATCTAGCACCCTGTCCAATCACATCTTGAAAACCTTCAGTGATGGGGACTCTACCACATTTCTAGGGAGGCTATGCCAGTAAATGATTGCCCTGACTGTAAATCTATCTTATATCAAGATGAAACCTCTCCCAGTGCAACTTGTACCAGTTGCCCCTTGTCTTCTCAGTGTGGCTCCTTGTGAAGAGAGAGCCCCTGTCCTCTTTGTAGCTGCCCTTTAAGTATAGGAGTACTGAGTTCCCTCCTAAGCCTTCCCTTCTCCAGGGGGAAAAGACCTAACTTCCTCAGTCTCTCCTCCATAAGTCAGTTTCTCTAGCCCTTTGATCATAATGGCCCTCCTTTGGACTGTATCCAGTCTGTCTGCCTCCTTTCTTAATTGTGGGCACCAGAACTGGATACAGTACTCCAGGTGCAGCCTGATAAGTGCTGAGTGGGATGTTCACATGTCTCTGCTACTAATGCCTCTGTGGATGCAGCCCGGGATCCGTTTGCCATTTTTGCTGCAGTGATGCACTGCTGACTCATGTTATGCATACAGCAGATTGCTGGAGCTTTTTGCCATGGGATATCGGAGATGTTAAAAGCTTGAATGAGCTTGGGGAAGACTGTCAAATAGCTAGAAGATATTGTGATATCTCTAAATAGGCAAACTCTCTGGCTCAGGAAACCCGCAGGGTGGAAAACAATTGGAGGCTGCGAGGCTCTTTGGGAAGTAGGTTTCCTTGTCCTTATTTTTCCCTAGGGATCCATAGAACTGGGATAAATGGACACTCAAAGACCCAATAGGCAATTCTTAGGTTCTTAGTAAAGATCCCTTGGAGTTCACATGAACACTGATGCTTTCCAGTGGGATAGGCAGATTAAGTTGCTGAGTCATCTGTGTTAGTCATATCTTAAACTGGCAAGTATAGGATTGTTTTCTTCATTTTTCCAGCCTTAGTTCTGACGTGATCACTCCAGCTTCCAGACTCGACACTGAGGGAACAATTCCATAGCTGAGGAATTTGGTGTAGTTAAAAATATCAGTGTGAAATAGTCAGCCTCTGACTGTCATACCTTTTGAGATGTTGCCTCACTCTTTTTCTTTTATTCAATTCCTTTAAATGGAAGAGCTCATTCAGATTCTTGGCTTCCACAAGTTTTATATTGGAGAACAAATGACAAGTTAAATAAAACACTGGATTACTTTCTCTGGTGTTCTTCATAAAGTATTGTGGTATCGTCCTCCATAACATCCTTTTCTGTAAGTTGGAGAGATATGGATTTGATGGGTGGACTGTTTGGTGGATAAGGAATTGGTCGGATGGTTGCATCTAGAGGGTAGTGGTCAACGCCTCAATGTCCAAATGGAGACCAGTGACAAGTGGTGTGTCTCAGGAGTCCATAGTGGGACCAGTGCTGTCTGATATCTTCATCAGACACACAGACAGTGGGATCAAGTGCACCCTCAGCAAGTTTGCAGATGACACCAAGCTGAGTAGTGCAGTTGACATGCCTGAGGGATGAGATGCCATCCAGAGGGACCTGGACAAGCTTGAGAAATGGGCCCATGTGAACCTCATGAGGTTCAACAAGGCCAAGTGCAAGGTCCTACACCAGGGTCAGGGCAACCCCTGATATCAATACAGGCTGGGGCATGAAGGGATTGAGAGCAGCCCTGTGGAGAAGGACTTGGGGGTAGTGGTGGATGAAAAGCTGGACATGAGCCAACAATGTGCGCTTGCAGCCCAGAAAGCCAACCGAATACTGGGCTGCATCAAAAGAAGCATGGCCAGCAGGTTGAGGAAGGTGGTTCTGCCCCTCTACTCTGCTCTGGTGAGACCCCACCTGGAGTACTGCGTCCAGCTCTGGAGCCCTCAGCGCAAGAAGGACATGGACCTGTTGGAGCAGGTCCAGAGGAGGGCCACAAAAATGATCTGAGGGCTGGAGCACCTCTCCTACGAGGCCAGGCTGAGAGAGTTGGGGTTGTTCAGCCTGGAGAAGAGAAGGCTGCAGGGAGACCTTATTGTGGCCTTTCAGTACTTAAAGGGGGCTTATAAGAAAGATGGGGACAAATTTTTTAGCAGAGCCTGTTGGGATAGGACAAGGAGTAATGGTTTTAAACTCAAAGATGGTAGATTTAGATTAGATATAAGGAAGAAATTTTTTGTGATGAGGGTGGTGAAATGTTGGAATTGGTTGCCCAGAGAGGTGGTAGGTGCCCCATCCCTAGAAACATTCAAGGTCAGGTTGGATGGGGCTCTGAGCAACCTGATCTAGTTGAAGATGTCCCTGCTTATTGCAGGGGGTTTGGACTAGATGACCTTTTAAAGGTCCCTTCCAACCCAAACTGTTCTATGATTCTGCTTTCAAGGAGCTGATTTGTATTAGTCTGCCATTCACTCACTTGCTTCTCTTTATCTTGTCCTTGTTTTTCTATCAACTAGCTGAAGAGGACAAGTTCCAACATTGAATTTAGATGAACTATGAAATGGATGTAATCCCCATTTTTTTTTTGTATGCATGTTTGTTCAAAAACAGCAAGAGGTCAGTAACAGTGCAAGAGCAACAAGAAGCTGAAGATTGTCCTTAATTCCAGTGACTACCTGTTCCATGCAAAATGGATCCATCCTTCTGGATGCTGGATCTAGAACCATAAGCCTTTCACCTCTACTCTGAGCTTTTCTATCTGTGAATGTCTGTGTTAAAGTTGGATCTCTTATGTAGGATTTGTGGGAATTGGGGTAATACTGATGCTGCTGCTTGTAGGGATCTGAGCAGAATAAATTTTATTCCTGAAAGTCTTCAATAGCATTGGGCAGTCAGGAATAGCACCACACCAGGTACAATGAGGCACCTGAGCTTTTGCATGTCATATGGGTGAGGATAATTTGTCCATGGCTAATGGGGATGTATGCATTTCTGATGCATTTTTCTCTGTAAGAGGTATGATGGCTTACTGTATCCAATATGAGTGCAGAATCTGAGTTAACAGATAAATATTGCTTGCATTTACATGCACTAAATCAGTGACACTTGTGCTTTTTATGTTAGATTCCTTTGGAAAAGGGAAATTGTTTTTTGCGATGGGATAGCTGTGGAGTAGCTAAGCCAGCTAATGGGAACTAGATAGTAGGTGATGACTTTGCCATCACTCTCAGCTGTGTTTTGACAACTTATAAACATACTTTGTTTATACTGGAAATAGGATGAAATACTCTTGCATACGTCAGGAACACGGACAGCTTACAGAATCATAGAGCATTTTGAATTGGAAGGGACTCGTAAAGATTGAGTCCAACTCCCTGCTCCTCACAGGACTACCTAAAACTAAACCATATGACTAAGAGCATCATCTAGATGCTCCTTGAACTCTGACAGGCTTGGTACTGTGACCACTTCCCTGGGCACCCTGTTTCAGTGACCAACCACTTTCTCAGTGAAGAACCTTTCCCTAGTGTCCAAACTGAACTTCCCCTGATGCAGCTTCGTTCCATTTCCTTGCGTCCTGTTGCTGGTCACCAGAGGGATGGGATCAGTACCTCCCTCTCCATTGTCCCCCTTGAGGAAGTTGTAGACCATAGTTTTAGATTGTAGTATGTATCCACACATTGTAGCTCCAAACCAAAAGCCTGTCGTCTTTTGAATAACCAATCCCAGAGATCTCCTTATGTCATTAACATGTTAGTGTTAATGAGGTCCAGCTTGCCTAACTGAGATACATGCTACACTCTTATATGGTCAAGAGGGGCAACGTAAGGCAAAGAAGGAAGATCCAGGAATGGTTTAGGTGGAATTGCTGTTCCCAGGGATTGCAGCATTAATTATGAATAGGGCTGGACTGGGATATAGCTAGTCCAAGGCTAACTTGGCAGAGTCAGCCTGTGTGGTCATTACTGCCTTGTTTCTTCTCCTAGCCAGCTATTCAAAGTGGGCTAACTACCTCTTTATTGTAGGCCAGACAGCAGAATATGCTGATGTAGCTTCAGGAGTGAAGAGATGCCCAGGTTGCTTGTCTAACCCAATGAAATGCGTCTTTCCCTTCCAACTATATGCCAGCTGAACTCCAAAGGGATGATTTACTAGCATTCAAAATTGTTACAGATGGTACTTGATCAGAGAGGTTTTTGATGGGCTAAAATTATGGTAGTTTAACCTTCTCAGGCTTCTGTCATACTTAACACATATTTCTCCCCCTCTTCAGAGGGCCCCCGCGTCCACGCCCTGCCCCAGTGGCTGGAGAGGCTGAAAACAAAGAGAACCATCATGAGGCCAATGCTATGAGTCAGCAGCCACTTCGCCGTGGGTATAGGCGCCCATACAACTACCGGCGTCGACCTCGTCCACCCAATGCTCCAGCTCAGGATGGAAAAGAGGTAAGCATGCTCCTGGCAAAATGTGGCAGAGGCAGAGTTTTGATGGGATGAGTGCTCAAGACCTTCTGTCCTGTGGGAGTTTTAATAAGTGTATTGTTGGTGTGCTGGAGGAGTCTGACGGCCAAGTCCAAAGTGCTGGCTGGTTTCATTGCCTGTTCCTTGTGGACTTATTTGAGAATGAGCAGTTTAGCTTAAATGGAACCAGCAGTGGGATAGGGGTTGCTTCTGTGTAAGTTCTTAATTGGGGTCAGACTGTAACAAATATTTTTTGGAGAGAAGCAGTTGTGTTTTCCAGCTTCCTCAAACCTTCAGTCTGTATGTAGTATAAGAGATGGATTTGAAAGCTCCAGATCCATTTCCTGAACTGCTTGAACCAGACAATTTCACGGAACTGTTTGCAAACATAGAATTTACCTTAATGAGGAAAGACTTTCCGTATCTACTTAAGGTGGTCCCCTGACAGAATCTGCTGCGTAACACTTAAACTTCAGTGTATTTCCTATAGTTAATATTTTCTGAGCATTCATCTACCTTGATTATTTTAAAACCTGGGTTATGCTGGCCCTACCACTGAACAAGAGGAAGGGTCTGGAGGTGAGTCTTTGCTTATAATAAAGGCTTATTGTGTCTCAGACAAAGGTGACTGAAACACCTGCTGAAAATCCTGCTCCAGTGACTGAGCAGAGTGGTGCTGAGTAATGTCCGGCTCCCCAGGCACCTTTACCATCCCTCAGGTAAGGAATATAGATTGTTCCTGTTCTCCAGCTGAAGCAGCATTGTGTATACTTCTAGGACTTGGACTCTGGCCACATGCCCTTATGTATGGCTAGATATTTGTGATAACTTCTTAGTGCTGTATAGGCAAACCAAGGAACTGTTTGCTGCTTTCTCTTCTTTCTCTCTTCTGTCTCTGTGTCTATATTTGTCACAAAGTCATTTTTGCTTTATCAGTCTGATTTTTCAGGAAGATGTCTGGTCTATATAGCAATAGCATCTGTTGATGAGTTAGTAATGTTTTGCTTTAGGAAGGTACTGAACTCTCAGCTTACAGATAGCATAAGCCAGTCATGCTTATCCTGTCTCTTACTATGGTAACTCCCTCTCTGCCTGACATCCCACCTCTTCAACAGGAAAATGAAACTTAAACTGCCTTCTTTTTTGAAATTTGGCTCTTCAACAGGTGTCCTGAAATACAACTCAAGAATAACACCAAAGAAACACTCAAGCAATAAATTGTCAACAGCGATGATGAAAGCAAAGATTTGAAACATGGGAACTTAAAAGAAAAAAAAAAAAAACAAAAAAAACCCCCACAAAAACAACTTACCAGCAGCTGAGATCCAGGGAACGCCTGCAAGATAGATGCATGAAGAGAGAAAAAGAGAGTGAGATTCAGAAAGAGCAACCTCCCCAGTTTCAACAGCAACTGTGGGGATTTTTTTTTAGAATTTCACTGTTTTGCTAGTAATGAATTTTTCAACTTTTCTTTTGGTATGAAACTGAAAAGGGAAAAAAAACCCAACCAAAGAACTGAAATTGAATCAAATGCTTTTTTTTTTTATTGGATGCTGGTGCTAAACCTCCCAGGTGTGGTGAGTTTTTTTTTTCTGTGCCAGTCCTGTTCACTGCAGGACACGGGGAGGAGAAAATTCTGCTTTCCTTGGTAAGATCTATTTGAAACTGCAGCATGGGTGACGTTCCTTAAAAATAAAAGTGATTTCAACTACCAAAAAAAACCCTGTTTTAGTGTGTTTGTTCACATTTACCTTTAAAATAATTCAGGATTTTAATCTTGCTGCTTCAGCATTTATATGTGAAAATGAGAGCTGCCTCTTCAATATGTGTTGTCTTTTAGACAATTATCTTGTCTAAAACTGTGCTGGATGATGCATGTGCAAGGTTAGGTGTATGTGGCTAGGTTAGGTGGATCTACTTCAATCCGAAACAACTTCTGCAAAGAAATTATACAACAGAGCTATAATTGACACTGTCCTTTCTGCTCTTCTGGCTCAAATGGTGTTAATGGTTGGGTTCTGTTACCATCCTGTAGCATGAGTTTGGGGGATTTGGAGTGGATTACTGGGATATTATTTTCCCCATCTGTTTGCTAGGCTTTTGTTTTCTGTAAACAGTAGAATCCAAGCTTTGAGACTTCTGCTCAAAAAGACAAACTGGGCTTAGTAACTGCCACTTGATTCAAGTTTCTGTTTCACATAATGGTAGTACATTTTCTTAGCCTCTGTACTGTAAACCAGTAAAATCTCTGCACCTGTTCCATCTTGTGTTAATGAGCAGAGTACTTAACTGTCTTACTAATGTGTGTGTTTTTCTAATGTTCCTCCCTAAAACTTTTGCCTTGCAAGTGTTGTCAGTCTACTTCCCACTGTTGAAAATGGTGTCTTTCTTCAGCTATCTTGTTGTGTCCTTCATTCTCTAGTCCAATGTTTCTCACGTTCCTGTTTAGCAGTTGCTGTTACCCAAACCTTAGATAGCTGTTCTAAGGAAACAAATAATACTCCTTCTGTTCTTAGCTATGCAGTCTTTACCCAGGCTTTACTGAATGTAAAACCCTTTAGTCTGGGGCAACACTGTAACTGTACACATGTAGGACTAAATGAGAGTAGAGAGATTCTTGGCAGGTACTTTCTGTCCTTGTCTCCTAGTTTCCCTGTTCTTGCACACTATTAATAATTAAAAGTTATATGAGGTTCTCTGGAGACATACTTTCTCATGTTACTCAGGAGGTGAGAAGTAGGGGGAGCATAGTGGATAATTGTGCTTCAAAGCACTTTGCTTCTAGCTTCTGGGAAGGTGAGGAATGGCCCTTGCACCCTGCTGCCTTTGCCTTGCAGGGGTAGGGGAAGGTTTAGTGATGTGCGAGTTGCACTGCCCATAGCTGACTGCATTGGGGATTTCCTGCTTGCTTTTGCAATGAATTAGGAACTTCTAATGAGTTATGAGGTGAATGCTACAGGCTTGGTTCAGGAAGGAGAATGCTTCTGGCTCCCTTGAGTATATACACTGCTGCATTCACTGCAAGCTCATGTAAGTGTAACTTGCTCTTGCAGCACTGGATTGCTTACCCAGCAGTTTTGAAAGTGCATTGATACAAGGATTGCTGTGAGACTGAGTTTCTGCACCAAATCTGGGAAGCTGAAGACTGAGAAAGATGTTGAGATGGACACAGTGGTATTCTAATGTCCTTCTGTGGAAGTTGAAGAACATGACAGTTTTGACACAAGAAAATTTAATAAGATGAGGAAAACATAAGTAATGCACCTTCTAAAAATTCTTAAGCAGGATAATCCTTAGCAGGCTTCAGTTTTGTTCAGAACTAAATCAATTTTAGGTAGATTGGGGCAAGGTTGGTAGTTTGATTGTAATATGAACAGATGTAAGATATTCATAAATATTGAAACATTACTGTAGAATTTTTCATAAAAACTACTTGAACTGCTTTCAGTTGTTCAAAAGCAAGTGTTTTTTCCTAGTGAGGTTTGACAGGCCAAGTAGAATGTTCTTAATCTCTACAAAAATGTAGGTCAGACTTGAATCAGTTTAACAAAAGCACCTAACTAGTTATCTTTATCTTATGAAAGGAGAAATTCAGGGAGATATGCAAGGTGTGTCCTAGTGTCTATTTTTTTTGTTTGTTTTTTCAGGTAAGAGGAATCTGCATAAAATGGAAACTCAGGACTAAGAACCACCTTAATCCCTGAATTCCTGCTCATGAAAATATAGGCTCAACTCTAGCAAGTCTAAAGCACTTACTAAAATCACTTTTTAGATACCTCAGGCTGGGCATAAGTTGTTCCCTTACTAGGCCACTTGTTCTCTTGTTAGCTGAACTTTGGCTGAAGAAATACAAAATGTGCTCAATACTGAGGGTCATTTAGCAGATGTGGTGCTTGTGTACCTGTAAATAAGGCTATGGATTATTTGCCTCAAGCAGAACTTTGGATGAGTGCTTAGTTTTAGTTTAGTGTTGTGTGGGTCTTTTTTTTTTTTTTTTTAAAGACTTGCATCTACAAGGATTTTGAATTTGCAGAGTAGTTAGCATGCTTTTATACCTATTTGGAGCCATTGTTTTTGTGCTGTGTTCATTCTCTCATCCCAGCATTCTTCCCTTTCATGGGCACTTATAATGGCTTGCACTTGGAGTGGATTACACTTTTATAGTGTAATCATTTCACAGTGTTTTCATAATACTCTGCCTGCCTAACTGTAACCAGGCTTTTTGCTTGTGAAGGCTGTTGTTTACTGTTACTGAGCCACAAAAATATTCCCTGTAGTTTGTGATCTTTTGAGGAGGATAAAGAAGGGAAGAAGAAAGTTCGTAGGCCTTTCTCTGTGCCCTGTTTCATTTAAACATAATAGTCTTGCAATGACAAGATACTGATTCCAAGAAATATGTATCCTGTAAACTTCTGCATTGAGCAATATTATATCCGTATGCAGCCCTTCCCACCTACTTCCATGGGAGGACTGTACACAGGTGCAACAAATGCCTTGGAAGTGAAACACTTCCTGCTGCAGTTGGAAAAACTTTGGAAATAAAGTCTGTGCTACATAGAACTTGATTTCACAGCCCTTACGGCAAGCTATGTGCATACTTATTTCATAGCAGGGGCACATGCTTGAGACTTCCCCATAGAACACTAGAATGAATTTGCATGTGGTCTGGATAGCAAGAGTTGTAAAGACCCTAATAGCTCTAGAACAGTGGTTTTCAAACTCTTCAATTCATAGATCCATAGAAATTTCAATTGAAGATGGAAAACTATGCAAGTCTGGCAGTTATTTGTTGTGGCTTTTTAGAAAGTCTATTTGTAGATCCCAAGTTCAAAGCCACAGCCTTAGACACTATTAGCCTTTGTGTTGGTTTGGCTTTTTGCAGAACCAGCTAGCCTTCAGCATCACTATCATTCTGTAGAAAGAAAGAATCTGCTCTGAGATATTCAGACATACCTGGGGGAAAAACAGCCGCATGAGCCAAGCGGCAGTGAGACCCTTGGTCAAGTGTAAAGGAGATGAAAAAGTTTTGGAGGGCATGTCAAACAAGTGGCAGCTTGAACTCTTCATTTTGTGCTGTTGAGAATAGCAGAGCAATGCAGCTGTGATTTGATTTTGAGTCTTAGAGCTAGACAAGGATGTACTGAGCAGAAAACTGATCCTGATGTACTACCAGCTGATGAGATGAATAATTACTTCTAATATCTTAAGGTTTTAAAATATGATAGGAAAGACCTACAGAAAGTTGTCACTGAGTTCAGAGCTTCATTTTATTTCCTGACTATTGTCAAAATGCATCATTATTCAATGCTTGCTATCAATCTGGAGTTTTGACTTGTAAAATGTGACTTTCGTAGGACCACATAGGTCCTTAGAATTAGTCAGGAATTCTAAGGGTGACTGACCATAAAGTCTATGTCTATAGTACAGAAAGAGATCTGTTCTCAAAAAAATTGGAGTGTGGGTTACATGTGTGAAGATCCACAGTCTTAGCTCAGATATGCGGCTTGTGTTAGTGTCAGCCTAGAACTCAACTTTAGCTGCACCTCAAGTTAAACTTCTGCTGTTTTAACATATTGGGTAACATCAGTTAGGTGGTGAGAGTCAAAATATGCTCCGTACAGTGTACCTGTGATAGTCCTGTTTTGTTTCCAGAGGCTTAGTAGAAGGTCTGTGTTTTGTGGTTACTGTTCAGTGTGTTGGTCTAGCCAATTGTTTTCACTTAATGTTCATTACACAATACTCAACTTTTGTCCATGACTTGGATAGTGCTCTTAACATCTTTAATAGCCTCTAAATCTTGCTCTTCTTCCTTTTAAAATATTCTGCATAATGTAGTGCTGGTATATATAACAAGCTGCATGTAAAATACCAGCAATTTCACAACCTCAGGATGGTATCCGAAATGTGGCACAAGAGCTTAAATGGTCACTAAATTAACATGCTCTAACTAGTATCTCTACAATGCCTGCCTTTAGCCTGGCCTTCTTTAAATGGGAAGATGCTATGTGTCTTCTTTATTCACTATTTGACTTCCTGAAGAGTCACAGAGAATTTTCTCATTACCAACAGAACTCAATCCATGTATAAAACTACATGTCACCTCAAACCTTGTAATCTTAACTGCCTATGTGTGTACTTCAACGATCCAAACCCATAGCACCTACAGAAAATAAGGCAAGTAGACAACAGAAAAATGAGAAAATATCACAACATGTTTTTGTTGAAAAAATGTAAATGCATTTTACAGTGGTGTAGAAGCAGGGAGGAGGCAGCGCTA